CCACATCCCCTCCAACACTTACTTTCGTCTTGTGCATAATAGCCATTCAACAGCTGTGAGGTAGTATCTCATGGGGATTCCGACTTGCATTTCCCTTATGGTGATGTTGAGCATCCTTTCATCTACCTGTTGGCCATTTCCATGCTTTCTTGGGAGTAGTGTCTGTTCATGGCCTCTGCCATGTGGTGTGTGTGTTTTTCAGGTGAGGCAATTAAAATTGCATTTTCTACAAGCCTTCCTTGCTCCACAGACCATTAGTTGGGCTTAGGAAGAGTGTGTGTCCCACAAGTGGCATCCGTCACCTAGGATCAGGATCAGGATCAGAAGCCTCAGCACTTCTGCCCAGCAGCTTGGTGTCAGAGTTGCCAAGGAAAACACACGCAGCCAAGGACAGGAGGGAGCAGAGATTTACTCCTACGGGGAATGGACAGTGGGAGATCAGTTTCAGCAGTGAGGGTGGGTTTCCTGGGCCACGGTCCCTCCCAGAGCCCACACAGGGCAAATGGCCTACATGCACCGCACCCCTCTGGTTGTGTAGACCTCTTTCTGAAGGGGACAGATACAGCAGGGGGCCTGCCAGATGCCACATGGTTAAGCAAAACAAGGAAGTGCACATTGAGTCTGAACCAGGGAGAGAGGTTCTCAGACAAGGCCACAAGTCCAGCACAGCTGTGAGGACTCTCTCTCCATAATGAGGTGTTCCAGGCCCAAGGCCCATTGTCATGCGGCCCAGTAGGGGTCAGAAGACTTTGTGCTAGGGACTGCCTTTCCCAACAGATTGGCTCTTTCATAGAAAACAAAGACAGTTAGATTGCAAGGCACAGAATTAAATGAATTAGAAAATATACTTATCCTGAGAGTTTTTATCCATGGGGAAGCAGCATCATGGAAATAAAGATAATTTCTCTTTTTATTGATTTCAAAGAGAGGAAGGGAGAGACACACACACACATTGATTTGTTGTTCTACTTGTGAATTCATTGGTTGATTCTTGTATGTGCCGTGACCTGGGACCAAGCCTACAACCTTGGCATATGAGGATGCTGCTGCTAACCCAGCCATGGCAAAGACACAGAATTTAGAATCCATGTTTTATTTAGTATCTGTGGGTAATTGAGCAATTTTTAAATTTAAGTTCTCTAAACTTCCATTTTCTCTTGTACAGTTGGAGCTAATACTATCAGCTTACAAGTTGTAATATACTAACTAGATAACAGCTAAAATCCCTGTCTGAGTGATACAAGTACTGCTTTAATTTTCTTTATAGGAAGAAAAGTAGCAAATAACAGTTACCAGACAGTTTTATTTAATCCTATATATATCTGAATAACTGCTGAAAAAGAAAATTTTCAAGTTTTTAAAGAATTGCAGACACATACACAAATAACAGGGAAAGTATGACTTTGTTGCCAAATGCCTTTGCATGTGAGGCTAAGTTAATTAAACTTAAAAAAAATTATAAGTCTTTGGACCCTAGGCTCTAAAAATAGCAGTTGGAATTGATACTATTCTTGGATTCATGGTTCAAGGAAGTCATTACATTTTGTTCTTGATGTCGTAGATTTAACAACATATTTGGAGAAACATGTAACTTCTCACATGGTTTAGACATCAAGAGACCAATTTGTGCATATAAACTGCAAATTGAAAGTGAATATTCAGATATTATGGGACTGTATAACAAATACAAATTTGTTAACTTTTAGAAGGAACAAAAACAGTATTAATAAAGACTGGTCTTTTGCATCATTCTCAAAAATTCGTCCTCATTTATTTCTCCATCCCCATCATGATCAGCTTCATCAAGCATTTCCTGTAAAACAAAACATAAATATGTGAACTCTATTAAAAATGAATGACACAAATGAATATTCAAATGTATACTCCAAATTTTACTTTAAATGTATTTATGACTACAATTAAGACATTTAAATTCTAATATGTAAATAATTGTATATAATTATACATGTAAATTATAGTTATAAAAATAAATAAAATTTACCTGAAGTTCATCATCTGTTAAAGTTTCCCCTAGTTCCTTAGCAACCCTCTTGATATTGTTTAATGTTATACTTCCAGTAGCATCATCATCAAATAATTTGAAAGCCTTTAACAGTTCTTCCTTTTCATCTTTTTCACTCTTTAAAAACAGAAACAGCTAAATGTTATTAGTCTTTCACTTATTTTCCTATGAAGCTGGTCTTACAGGTCTCTGAGGTGCAGAGCAGCAACGTACCAGGTAGCTGAGCTCTGACTTTACTAATTGCTCTGCCTTTTAAAATTGTGCCAATGCACTCACATCTGCCCTCAAGGTATTTACACTCAGAGTCTAAGGAAGTGGAAGAGGCATGGGGTGGTAAAGAGGATGTACTTCTTGGTGACCAGTAACTAAGATCCATTACAAAAATGTGAGCTCCAAGAAAACAAGAAGTGTTCCCCACAGAATAGTGCCTGCAGAAACCAGGCACTCAGTAAATGTTCGTGGAATTCCAGGCCTCACCTTGCTGGCCCCATTCTATCCACCCATATATCCTATTATTTCCTAACAAAAATCTTCTCCACACTGGATGGTCTTCATGATCACTAGCCTGAAAGCATATTTAATCTTGTTCTTCTTATCTAAACCCCAACCATCCTTAAATTCTTCTATGAAACCTCTCATTGTATTTCTTTGAAAAACACAATCACTACTATACCATTTTTAGACTCATTATGGCAAAAAAATCTTCAAAACTAATGGTGCCAGTTCCTTCTTTGTCGATTTCAGCTATCAATTTTTTAACTTCTTCTTTCTTTGGTTCAAATCCTAAGGCCCGCATAGCAATCTGAAATAGGAAGCAAATAAATTATATGCCACGATCTCATTCCTAGCTTTAAAATTACCTTAATTACTAGATTTTCTCTCGAGCGCGTGCTCTCTCTCTCCTATGGACAAGGTATAAACCTAGAGAGTAAGGTCAGCATATATTTTCCCCATCACCATTTATCCCCTATATGCCCTCTTCCACCTCCCTCCCCCCAAAATCGCCACACTGTCGTCCATGTCCATGGGTTCTGTATAAAACAGGAATGAAATGCTTAACAAGATATTGCTTTGCCAGTGTGAGGCGGATGTCTGCACTAAAGAGGGAGATAGATGTCTACATGGAAGGGACTGTATATCAAGCTTTCAGATGGCTACTGCTAAAGACAAGATTGGCATGAGACTGTATATCAAGCTTTCAGATGGCTACTGCTAAAGACTTACAAGATTGGCATGAATATATTATATGGTTTTTTAAATGTTTTAGAATTAGAAATAATTTTAGAACCTTCAATTCTTTTACATCTATGGTTCCAGACCCATCAATATCAAATAAATCAAAGGCCTCTTTAATTTCTTGTTTTTGAGTTTCATTTAGTTCAATTTTTGCTGGTTTTTTCTTCCATTGGTCCGAACCTGTGCGGCAGTCGGATGCCTGTAAGAAATACACACGTGAGTGAAAGATAAGCTTTGTAACCGGAAAAGTTACCAGAACCAGAATAATTGATGAAATTGATGAACTAACTAATATAATGACCGTAGTCAGGTATCCTCTTCCCTACTGTATAGTGAACCTCAACAATTCTCCCCTTTTCCCTTTACTAACATTTTTGCTTTAGTTGTTAATATGTTGGTGGAAAGCCTGGTTCTTTTTTAAGTTGGGTCCAATTAGGTTTTTCCTTCAAATTAGTGCCTTTAGAGAAGGAGAAGGGGCAAAGGAAGGCATGCTAGAGGAGTAGTAGGTATGTCGGAATGCAATCGGCCCCACTTGAGGTCTCTGAAAAGCACTGTTGAAGTGATCTTTACTTCTATTATGCCGAAATGTCTTATCAGAAAACGTATTATGTGGGACATACTTGATTGGAACATAATTCTCTTTCCCACCTTCTAGCATACTTTCCTATATTGTACAGGTTGAGAAATGAATAAACTACATTTTCCGGGTGAAAAACTACTCCAGGGATCTGGGTAAGAATGCATGTTGGGCCAATTATCAGTGTTCGGGGAAGGTGTGTGTGTGTGGAGGGGTCATCTTCCTGCTATTTGCCATTTTCTACTGGCAAGCGAGGTTGGCGTGGGCCCCCCCTGCAGCCTTATTTCGGCATCTCCTCCCCAGCTTCGGGGTAGGAAGCAGCAGGACTCCGAGTCCTGCGCCTCCAGTGGCCGGCTTCGCGCGCGCTAACGGCGTGGCGCGGCTGCTTCCCGGCCCCGGGCTGCAGGTCACTGGCCTGGCAGCCGTGGATCCCCAGCTTCCAGGCAGTGGCAGAGCTCCTCGGTCCCCGGTCAGTTCGTTTTTCAGAGTTCAGGACTTTCCTAGAGGCCCAGGCCCTCCCGTTGTTTTTAGCATCTTATTCTTTGTACTTAACTCCTTTCTGGCTAGACAGGGAACCTATCGTAGACTGCAGGTATTCACGCTTGATGGGGTTGATGAGGGAAAATGAATTGGAGAACCGCTCTTCCTCCCTAGAGCGGCGGACAGTGCGCTTATTGAGCAGCGAGAAGGGTTTCTATTTGACACTCGAGGCTCATGAAAAGGAGGAGAATGATACATTTCATGAGCTAAACGAAGTTCCTTCCTTGCTCCGGGGAGGAACCTCAGCCCCTTCTGCAGCCCCAGGCCCAGCCACAGCCCCAGCCACAGCCCCAGCCCCAGCCCCAGCAAGGCACTCACCATGTCCCCCTCCGGTGCCCTCAGCCGGGAGCCCCGGCCGCCTCCGCCCACCCCGCAGTCCAACAGTAGCCTCCTCTGCTCCCAAGCCGTTGCTAAGGCCCCGGTCGCTAACCTCAGGCAGCCCCGCCCACTCAGGCTAATGATTGATAGCCACATTACCCAATGGCCAGAAGAGAAGGCCCCGAGGCTAGCCCCCTATCTGCTATCTACCAATAGCGTTACTCTCTGTCTTTCTTGTCTACCGTTAAGCGGCCTTTCCAACTGGTTTCCTAGCGACCAGGCCCAGCCGCCTTCCCCTTTCGCACATGCGCAAACTGCGTGCGGGGCGGGGGTGGTCGTCGCCGGCGCGCTGGGCGTCCCTGTGCCCCCCAGAGCCTGTCTGACCGCAGAAATCGGGCCTGGAGCAGCCCCGTGGGGCTGGAGAGCAGAGCGAGGTTAGTAGCGAGGTGCTTCCAGCGCCTGCCGAATCTTTGGTGGCGTCGTGGGGAGCCCGTGTTTGCTTTTCCTGCGCTTTGCACAGGGAAGGGGTGAGAATGGAGGGCTCGCGAGGCCCGGGTGCATTGGTCCAGCTCTGGTTCACCGCCGGCGGAGTGTGGAGAGGCGGAGAGGATGCACCGCTGGACCTTCCTCGGCCGCCTCGGGGCTGGGGCTGAGTCGTGGGCCACTTTCCTCCTCCCTTGTTCGCAGGGATTCCGGCGTGGTGGGCCCCAAGGTTAGGGGCGTGGGGCGGCGGCGCGGCCTGAGGGAGCGGGGTTGGGGTCAGCGTGGGTCTCGGATGCCCTGGAGCCTCCCTGCTGAGGACTGAGGTTGCACCTGGGTTGCGGTGTGTATTTGCAGGTAGGGCTTCGTTCCCACCCAGGATCGCTCTCTGACATCTATACCCACACTCACCCCCAGTCATTCTAAATCTTGGCTGAACCCCAAGATTTGGCCAGCGGTCCAACCACATCCCGCCTAGATCCACACTCTAATCAGACACAGGTGACCCGATGATCAGTAAAGGCTTCGGATTTGATTCCCATCAGGGCACATACCTAGGTTATGGGTCCACCCCAGGTCCGGGCGCATGAGGCAACCTATCCATGTTTTGTTTGTTTTCTCTTTCCCTCTCTCTCTCTCTCTCTCTCTCTCTCTCTCTCTCTTTTCCCTCTCTCTCCTCTGCATGTCATATAGGATGTAGGATACCATCTATCTGGTGAGCTTCCAAGGAACCAGGTGTAGAGTATAAAGATGAATAAAAGCTAGGAACCCACAGATTGGTGGCGGAGATTGCACAGAGAAAAATGCAATGTGTGTAAGCCAAGATGCTAAGTGCTTTAGTAGATTTGTGTAGAAAGTGCTGTAGGAGCACAGGAGGGAGGCACTAATCCTGCCTGGGGCATTGGAGAGGCTGTTTTAAAAAATGTGGCATTTGCCTTGGGTCATGAAAGATATACAGCATTTGCCAAGGTAAAGAAAGGGTAGGATATTCAAATCAGAGTATAGCAAGTGCAAAAATGAAAATAAAGGTATATTCTAATGTGGCAACATCTTGGGGATCATAAGGGAAGTTTGAAGACGAGTCTTATAAATTAGAGTGAGGTCAGATCAGGGGTGGACAAACTTTTTGACTCGAGGGCCACAATGGGTTCTTAAACTGGACCGGAGGCCGGAACAAAGGATGGAGTGTTTGTGTGAACTAATATAAATTCAAAGTAAACATCATTACATAAAAGGGTACGGTCTTGTTTTTTTTTTTTAGTTTTATTCATTTCAAACGGGATCCGGCCCACGGCTGGGTCAGATGGTCGGACACCTTTGTAGAGCTAGGGGATCAAGACTTTATTTTCTAAGATAAGCAGATGTTTTTAGGCAGAGGAGTGACGGGATTACACGTGTGCTTTTCAATGGAAATTCTAAGAACCATGTGAAGAACCATGTTTGGAAGCAATCAAAGGGCCTCAACAAGGCACCACATACAAACCATGTCCACTCCAAAGGTGCTAAACCTTACACTTGTGGTGCAGGAATGCTGACAGCAGCATGTTTAATCTTGTTTCAGATTTGTACTTACATATAAGATCGTAAATATGGTTAAAATCATTCACTCATCAATAGTCAGACAATATCCTGGGTGTGTGGAATACTTCAGTGACTAAAATTGCCCTCCTGGGCATTAGAGGGAGATAGTCCAACAGAGGGAGATAGTCAATAAGTAATAAGTAAATAAGGTGAGGCCATAGATTCCTTGGGAAAGAACATTCCGGAACAAGGAGCACAGAAACACTTGCAAGTGTTTAGGAACAGAAGGGAGGTGGGAACAGAGTGGTCAGGGTGGTAGAGGAATAAGAGACAAAGACAGAAGGGAGTAGTGCACATTATTAGGACACTAGAGGCCTGATGCACGAAATTTGTGCAAGGGACTTGGCCCCCCACCGCCTCTGCCTCAGACCCTGCTGCCGCCATGGCCACCTCAGCCCTCGCAGCCCCGGCTTCGTCCGGAAGGTCTCCCGGAAGGTCTCCCGGTCTAATTAGCATATTACCCTTTTATTAGTGTAGATTATAACTACTTTGACTTTCACGCCAGTGTAGTGGGAAGGCTTTGCAAGATTTTGAGCAGAGGAGTGAAAAGATCTGAGTTAGTTTTTAAAAGGGACTCTTCTGTGTCAGACAGGGGAGTAAAGACTTTATCTTCCAAATGAGAGCTTTTGAACTAGTGGAGTGATATCACCAGACTGTTGTACTGAGAATAGACTGGAACTAGGCAAACTGTTGGTTTTGACATGATGAAAAAAAAGCTAATTATACCTGTCAGAAAATAGTACTTTTTTAAAAAAAATGCAACTTTTGAAAAGCATGTCTTAGTATTCTAAGCCAAGTACCTCAGACAAGACTAGACACGATTTTAGGACAAGAGAGCTTCTTTTGGTGTGAGAATCCCAGGGAAGTCCTTGAGCCAGCTGCTCTTCTTGCACACGTAGGAAGTTAAAGAAACACTAAGCTGGCATGTGAAGTTGTTAGGGATCGTGAGGATGAAATGGAAAGCTGTTTGTGGAAAGCATGTGCTGGTGCCTAGCAGAACATAATCAGATTGTGTCCGTTCAATGTCAAGAAAAGTTGCCAGGGGTACTTTGCATCTTTGAAATTATCTATCTCACTGTCCCCTTCACCATCTTTACCTTTTTCACCCTCTTAGAAGATGAGGAATTATTGTTTGAGTTTTTCTTTTATGTTAATTATAGCAAGTTGTAACCACTTCAAAATTTAGGAGCTCTTCTAAACATGGAAATGCTAAGACTTTTTTTTTTTAATTACTGAAACTTGGAATAGATTCTTCAAATGTTGAGACATTGTGTGAATATGTATTTTGATATCAATTTTTGCTTGCAGATTAGTTGAAGTAATTTCATGCCTCCTATGGAAAACCTTTTTTCACATAAATTAAATACAGACTAAGTTTGAAATTGCCCATGACTTTTTCCTTTTGCTCTAAATTCTTTATGACTTTTGCACTCACATAGCAATATCTTGTGACTTAAACATAGTATAGAAAGGAAACCATTAGCAGAGACTCTCTGAAAAAAATGAGCACATCCATATTAGGAGTATGACAGGCTTGGGAGAAGGGAGGAAGGCTTGGAAGTGGGAGATCCTACAGAGACAGGCTGGATTACTGTCATCCTGGATAGAGGGGCAGCCAGAGGGCAGTATTGTATAGTAGTTAATAGCATGGGACTTTGACATTAGACAAGCCTGGATTTTAGTCCATACCCGCTACTTACTATTTGTGAGATTTTGTATATGTTACTTAACTATTTTTCATTTTTCTCATATATTTGCATTTACTACCACCTCCTTCAACTTGCTGACTCACATTATTCTTCAAGACTCATTTCAGTCATTGCCTTCTTCTGGAAACAGCGCCTGCTGCCTGCCTGACCCACTTCCCCGTGGGATGGAGTGTTCCTCCCCCTGCACCCGTACCTTTTATCGCTAATATCATCATACTACTATATCATTGCACAGACCGCATTTGATGGAAACTGTACCTACCAGAAACTCCTCAAAGGCAGGGACTATATATCTTAGTGTTCTTTTATAGCATTTATAACCATGAATTACACTCAATAAGTTTTTGTTTTATTTGCAGACGATGACTTATAGAGATGGCTCGCAGGGTCATAAACAAAAAAAGGCACCTGGGACTTCAGCAACTTTCAGCCTTTGCAGACACAGGAAGAACTTTCCTGGGCCCAGTGAAACCATCCAAGTTTATTATAGACGAAGAGAGTCATGAGAGTGTGGTAGTCGGTTCAACAGTGAGGCTTCTTGAAAGTTTGGATTTGTCCAGTGCAGTGGGGCAGCTTCTCAGTGAGGCAGTTCAAGCGCAACATAACACATACAGGACTGGGGCCAGCACTCTTCTGCTTCTCGTCGGTGCTTGGAGCAGTGCTGTTGAGGAATGTCTTCATCTGGGCGTCCCCATGTCTTTAATTGTGTCAGGAATGTCAGAAGGCTTGGACTCTTGCATTGAAGAGGTCACTTCCCTGCAAGTACCTGTCCACGATGTCTTTGACCATATAGACAGCACAAAGATATTTTCTGAACTTGAATCGTTGAATGTCAGTTTGTGTCCCTTTCTACAAATTCCTTCAGATACTGGTTTGATACTGAAAGAGCGTGATCTCAAAGATGTTGCCTCTCAGTCATTGACCACTTGCAGTCTTTCTGGGAGACCTGTTAAATCAGCTAAACTTTTTAGACCTCAGGCTACGGTTGGTGCAGATAAAAACACGTCACAAACCCCTCAAACTCTGAGAAACAGTCTGCTTGCAGACAGCCGCTGCAGGCAGTCAGTGCTGACCCACAGTAGGCATTGTAATCGGGAGGCTAGTGATCAGTGGACAAGCAAACATGGTGCAGCTGCTCCCCAGACTGACAGATGTGGTCTGGGAGAGTTGGCGGTGGGTCTGAGCCACGGAGATCACAGCAGCATGAGATTGGTGGAAGGAGCTGTACGGCTGCAGCACCAGAACACAAGCGTGTGCCAGAGCAGCTGGAAGATGCCATTTATGTTCGACATTTCAAGAGTCTTCACTTGCTGTTTACCAGGTTTACCTGAAGCTTTTTCTTGTGTGTGTCCAGGATATGTCACTGTTGTATCAATGTTTAGTGCGACTGTGCTCGAGGACTTACAGAATCAGCCCCTCGGGGTCGTTCTCATCGAGGGTGACCTCACAGAGAATTTCCGCCACCTGGGATTTAACAAGTCTGCAAATGTTCAAACAGTGTTAGAAAGCATGAAGAAGCTTCAGCAAGACAGCTCAGAAGAACTGTGGACAAATCACGTATTACAGGTATTAGTCAAGTTCAATGTGAACCTTGTCCTGGTACAAGGGACCGTATCCGAACACTTAATTGAAAAATGCGTGCACACTAAGCGGTTGGTGATTGGGTCGGTGAATGGCAGTGTGATGCAGGCTTTTGCGGAGGCCTCAGGAGCCGTGCAGGTGTCCTACATCACACAAGTGAGTGAAAACTCTGTGGGCCGGGGGGTCTCTGTGACCTTCTGGAGAAGCAGTCCCTTGGATGTTGGAGATGGGATCAGCAGAATGGCGATTTTGTTGAAAACAGAAGGGATTAATTTGGTTACAGTAGTGCTCACTGACCCAGTCACTGCACAGATGCAAACCAAAGAAGATAGGTTCTGGACTTGTGCCTATCGTCTGCATTATGCTCTTAAAGAGCAAAAGGTCTTCCTTGGAGGTGGTGCAGTTGAGTTTTTGTGTCTTAGCCATCTTCAGATTCTCATGGAGCAACCTCTGAATAAAGGAGACCAAATCTGTTCAGGGGGTCTTCATAATACTTCCTCTTGGCTGGCCTCATCTCTGGCTCTGTACAGACCTACTGTGCTTAAGTGCTTGGCAGATGGATGGCACAAATACCTTTCAACTGTCATTTGTAACACTGCCAATTACTCCTCAGAATTTGAAGCCAGGACTTTCATTCAGCATCATCTGCAAAATGCCACAGACTCAGGCTCACCTTCATCTTACATCTTGAATGAATATAGTAAACTAAATAGTGGAGTTTTTAATTCAGGCATTTCAAATGAACCGGAACAGATTCCAAGAGTTTATGACATTGTTACACCAAAGATTGAGGCGTGGCGCCGAGCTCTGGATTTGGTACTGTTAGTACTTCAGACAGACAGTGAAATTATTACTGGATCTGGGCACACCCAGATAAAATCACAGGAGTCAGAGGGCTTTTTATTTGTGTAGTGTTATTGGCTAAGTCTTTGGGAAATAATCTTTTTTAAAAAATCTTTATTGCTGAAATTATTATAGATGTCCCTCTTTCTACCCTCCCCCAGCCCCCCCATAGCTCGCCTCCACCCGGTTACTGCCCCGCCCTAGACCCTCGCCACCCTATTGTCTGTGTCCATAGGTAATGCATACATGCATATAAGATCTTTGTCTACTCTCTTCCAGCCCCCCACACCCCCTATCCTCTGATAATCATCAGTCTATTCCATTTCCATGCCCCTGATTCTATTTCATTCACCAGTTTATTCTGTTCATCCAATTTTTATTCGTTTGATTTTTATATTCAATTGTTGATAGATATGTATTTGTTGCCACTTTGTTGTTCATTTTTTTATCTTTATTATTTTCTTCTCTTCTTAAAGAATAACCTCAGCATCTACACTAATAAAAGACAAAGATGCTAATTGACCGTAACTTTGCTGCACCCCAAGCCACGCCCACCAGCCAATCAGAGCAACTATATGCAAATTAACCCAACCAAGATGGCGGCCGGCAGCCATGGAGCTGGAGCAAG